TCTCAGGTGGTAGCTTAACTTGCTGTATTTTGATGCCAGCCCTGGGGAAGCAACCTTAAAGATGAGCTAGAGTCAAATTTATGTGTAACACACCTGTTAGTATATTCCTCCAGACACTCCAAGGAAACATAAACACACACAAGTGCTTCTTGGAAGTATCCATGGTAACGTATTTTAACAAACATATTTGATATTGAATGATTATCAACCATTAATTGACTTCCCTCGGTTGGCTTATAACATATGTACCTGTTGGTCAGAAGGCGCAGTTAACTGAAATATTTTTTGGATTACATGTTAGATTACAACAAGTCACTCAGATCATCTTTCTCCTTTCTTATCTTTGGTACAGTATTATATTTACTACACAATAATTACTTAATGTTTTGTTTGTAGAAGGAAAGAATGTTGCTGTAATTGCCATTCATTCAACCAACAAGTATTTGTTGAATACTTGTAATATTCCAGGTGCTTGGCTAATGGAGAGATGACAGTTCACTGCTGTGGCTGGGTTTTGCTTTGCCAGTGCAAATAACAGCATTGTAGACACAAACTATGTGAGTTCACGTATTCATACATTGAGGCACCAGAGAAAACTATGTTACGGTAATAGAACCGGTGCTGATTAAGCCTGCCCTTTGTGCTTTTTCTTGTTGAATCTGTTCATGAGGTCCTAGGATAGAGAAAAACTTTTCCTGGTTGAATAGCTGTTGACCCCATGACTCAGAGCAGTTAAATGGTATTTCAGATGTCATCTATCAAATCAGTAAGTAAATTGAGCTTGCATTTGAACCCAGAGTGCCTGCTGTGCATTACTGCATTAAAATATCTTGCCTTTATTTTCCAAATGTAATATCTCTTGAGAGATGTTTTCACTGTTCTGAAATGCTAAGTACATAATTAACGGAAAGACATTTTAAGTAGCCTTTGGCCAGAGGCATTGATGCCCATCCCCATCCTGCTTGGGCTTCCTTTGGATTTGTCTTGATCATTTCTGAAGTCTAAGGAAGATGAGTAAAGAATAATGGAGGCCAGTGTTGTGGCACAGAAGGTTAAGCCGCCACATGGGGGCTGTGTTTGCATATGGGCACAAGTTCAAGTCCTGACAGATTAGATTTCTTATTCAGCTCTCTGCTAATGTACGTGAGAAGGCAGCAGACCACCGTCCAATTCCTTGGGGCCCTGCCACTTATGTGAGAGTTCTAGATGGATCTCCAAGCCTCTGGCTTCACTCTAGGCTAACTGCGGTCATTGTGATCACTGGGGAGTGAATCAGTGGGTGAAAGATCTCTGTCTCTTCCTCTTTCTGTCACCCTGGCTGTCAAATAAATTCCAAAATAAACCTGCAAAAAATTTTTCAAGATGGCTTCTTTTTGGAAGCCATATTGCCCTGCTGTCTGCTTGTTACAAGTCAATAAAGCTTTCCTCTAAGCAAAAATAAACAATGGAAATTTAACTTCCATTGAAATGTTAATGTATACCTGTCAGCACAATTAATATTTGAAAAGAGCGTTAAGTTGCTGTGACATGTACATTAAAGACAAAAATGGCAACTAACCTGTTTGTGTTGAGCATTCATGAATTCCAAAACAATTTCTCCAATTCTTCAATATGTCTGGCCCAGAAAGAATATGGCTCCTTAACTACATACTTTACCAGACAATAAGAAAGAATAAGGGGAATTTTTTTTCTGACAATCCATTGTGAAAGGGACACTCTCTGAGACTACTAACTTTGCACTACAAGCAAAGGCTATGGGGTGTTCCAGAGACTCAAAGGCTGGAGAAATTAACCGGGTGAAAGAAAGCGGGGAAAGGTATGGTGAAGAGAGTACACCCTACATGAAGGTGCAGAGTCCAGGGAGTTTAAGAATTCCTTGGGACTGAACTAATCCTGTATAATGGCAGGGCAGGGCGGGTGTGGGAGAAGAGTGACCAGAGGTGACACTGACCAAGAAGTCACAGGGAGGAGACACTGCATCACAGATCTTTTTGGGAAGTTGGAGTGAATGACAGTTGTTGAAAAAGCCCTTGCTGCAGTAATTGGGATTCTAAATGCAGAGGTGAAGGCCAGATGAATGTTCCAGCATTATTCTTCATTATCCATTACTTCCCTTTCATCCTTGACTAGGAAAGTACCCTTCTCCTTGTGGGTGATTTTCAGTACATGCCACACATTACAAATGGCTTCCTTCTGATTTCTGCATATGAAGGAACTTCAAAATCATAGAAAATGAAATGAGAAGATAAATTTTGTGTATTTTTTAAAATGTGTATGTAATCTTTGCCTGCTGCGCATTGTCCATGAACTTCTTGAAGAATCCTCTCATGGACAATGTTGATTCCACCTGGACTGATGAAGCTAACGTGTTTTAGGTGTCTTCCCATTCAGTGAGTTATGCATTTCGCCAGGGAAAACAAATGTGCTTCCCATGTCACCTATTCTGTACATTCCCTTGTATTTAGGAAACACTTGAAGGATATATTGTGCTGTTATATAGTGTTGCAAGCCGCTCATTTCAACAAGATAGGTTCAAAACTCTTTGCCATCTTTCTAGAAGAACTGTACAGCTGATAACTGGGGTAGCAGCAGGGGATGGGGGTCAGCCCAAAATACCTCTCTTGTATACCTAGGTAGAAAAATGCAAGAGGTCCTACTAGATTTTTCCTCTCTTGCCATCATGAACAGATTCTTTTCTCTTGTGAAGAAGGACTGGCAGGAGATGGAGAGAGAAGGTGTAAGGATTTAATAGCTAAGTGACAGGCCTACCTCAGCACTGTTTCCTATGGTGGCCACACCGAGCTGTGCAGTCACCTCCCAAAGAGGGAGCACCAGACAGTCCCCTGTGTCCCAAATGAAGCCAAACACCCTACGCTCTCCTTCTCGGCTCCTGTCACTTTGGGCCCTTGAACTTCCCGCGAGAAAAGCAGCCATCTCTCCCACTAGCAGTTTCACAACCTCTGCTCTGGGCCAGGCCCTCCCTCTTTCCTTCCCCTCCTTCCACCTGACAGGGACCATAAATAACTGAGACTCCGGGGTGTTCCCAGCTTAGAACAAAGTTTAAAGTCTGCCCGAAGCTCCATGCCACTCCCCGCCTGGGTCATTACTTTGTTTTCTAATGCTTGCTTTGCCTTTACCTGGGTTGGCTGTTTCTTCATTCATATTTGAGAAGAGTCACTTCCTAACTGAATGCAACGCCCCTTGCACGCCCACGAGGTCCCTACATTTCAGGCTGTCTCGGTTACCGGGTTAGGCATCTGAGCCTGGGTATCAAATTACCGAAAGTCTACACCGGAGCAGTCCTCCTATTTACATACAAATAACTCGTGGGCTTGCATTTATGTCACCATTCGGTCTTGCTAGAGGCTTGCCAGAGGAGTTTTTGATCCAATCAGAAGGCGCTTTAAAAGGATGTCTGCGGAGTGATCAAAAGAGACTTAATCTCAATGAAGTGTTGCCAGGAATTTTTAGTGTTTTGGGAGGCATCTGAAATTTTGAAAATCTTCATGCTCTGATGAATGGCACAAGATGGGTGATTCCTCAGTGGTCTCCCTAGAGATCGAGCCGCTGAGCAGTTCTTGGTGGTGGTGAAGAGTGGATCCAACCCAGGCACTGCGTGGTTTGGGCTGTTTGGAGCTGGCTCCCAAATCACTGCGTGAGGAATTCCTGGAAGCATCCGGAAAGTGTTCCATCTGCCCAGACTGGTGGAAATGGCTTTCCCACAGAGTAAGATCTGTAAGTTGTACTTGGGGTGTGCTGTCTTTGTTTCCGATGCTGTGGAACTGTGCAAATAGCACACGTGCGAATCGCTGCTTAAAATACTCTGCTGGTATTGGGAAGCAGTAGAAAATTGTTCTGTTTAATTTTTATGTTTGCAAGAGCAGTTGTTGACAGTGCATTTTTAGGCTTGATTGGTTGCTTGTGGTTTCCTGAGTTTAAATGAATGGAAAATTGTACGCAGAACCGAAGAGATAGAAAAATACAACCGTGGTGGCTGGAACACATTAGAGAAAGTAGGACAAACACACGTCTAAAATCTCTTGCATTGGCTAAGCTTGTATCCAAAAAGCAAGTGAAAATCATAAAGGAAAAAACCCACCGAGTTTGCTCGTGTGTGGAAGGAACTATTTGGCAGTTTTTGCTACGGTTTGAGAAGGATGGGAAATGTCCCAGAGGGCAAAAGTAAACCTGCCCTGTCACTCTTGGAATGTGGTTTTTCCCTGTGAGGTCACTGCATAAGTAGCTAGTAAAAGTTTTTTTCTGTAATTAACTCTTTGTGAGGCTAGGTGAAAACCAACTGGTACACTCCATCTCTCCCTGTTTTACCTCGGTTGGAGCCCAGAGTTGCTTTCCAAGCAATTTCAGTCACTGGGACAGCTGGGCCTGAGTTGTTCATTTGATAGGTTTAGAAATGGTTTGAAATGGATGTGTTTCCAGGTCTCCCAAGTGAGCAGTTTTAGTGCACAGAAATAACCTGCTACTTCGGTACACAAGTCCCGAGGCGAAATCTGCATGCGAGAGAGTCAGGTTGTTTGGTTTTGTTTCATTTTGGGAAAAATAAATATCCTGTTCTCTTCCCACCTGTAATTTCAAGATGAGTCGTACGGAGGCGGCTCTTATTTTGCAATCTATGTCCCGTCAGACAAGCTGCTCTCATCATGGGTGAGGTGAGCCAAAATAGGTGACAGAAAAGATCCACCCTCCACTGGGTGAAGCTGGAGGTTGGGGACGGGGGAGGAGGTGGTAAAGAAAGTGCAGGCAAAGTTCTGAAATGAGAGCTTAACACCTGGAGGACTGTTGGGGGCTTACATGTATTCTTGGATTCCCGTGCTAACCTCTGCCTATCTTCTTCCCTTCTAAAGGACAGTTAGAACAATTACCTAAGGGACAGGAAGGGGACTGTGAGACCTTGGGTGCTTTGCTGACCCAGGAGCAGTGCTTCCCAGAGCTGACTCAAGTGACTCAAGCTTCTCACTGGAGCTTGCTTTCTCCTTCGGCAGGTGAAGATGCCATGACGGGGGACACGGACAAGTATCTTGGGCCACAGGACCTTAAGGAGCTGGGTGACGACTCCCTGCCTGCCGAGGGCTACATGGGCTTCAGTCTGGGAGCTCGTTCTGCCAGGTACTTTACTGTTACTCTTCTTCTTAGTTGATATAAAACAAGCATTTGTCATCAATCCAGATCATTTTCATTTTTCACATGTCAGAAAAACAAAACTGTGTTCTTTGGTTGAGGATGCAAGTGTAGTAAAACGTCCCTGAGTCGGATAGACTTGCTCTGTGGCTCTCTGTCAATCTCACGCAATTGGACACGTTAATCATTTGTTCTTTTGCCCCATTTGTAGTCATGCTTCAAGTCCAGTGACCAATGAGCTTGCTGACCGAACTGGGAGAACACATTTGAGTCGCATATTTCAAAATCAAATGTTGTTTTACATGGAGAAAACTCAAAAAGTTCACAGAATTAGAAGATAAACTTATTTCAGTGCAAAAAAAAAAAAAACGCCTATGAAAAGACTTCAGAAAGTTTCTGAAAATGCATATTATGAAAAAAAATGTGCATGGATTTTGATCCTTTTTATATCAAAATAAATGTACCCTTTAATTCTGTTTTCCTACAAACTTTTTGAAGACCCCTTGTGTTAAAAGGAACTTGCTAAAAGGGAGCATTATTGAAACAAATTACTTTGTTGATTAAGATTGTCCAGCAAATGTTTGAAGGTCTTTTCAAAATAGTTCCATTATTCTGTATACAAAGGAACATTTTAGGATGGTAGCATGTGACAATAGAAGTCACAGACAAGTAGAATGGCAAATTCAGTCCTTCCAAGGGAAGCATGAAACTTCTGCCCATGGAAAACCTTGAGTGAAACTTTTCTAGTCCAACAGGACCTTGCCCAGAATGGGGAGACTTCTTTGCTCTGGTATGGATTAGCAGCGTGTTTGCTGACAGTCAAGTTATTTTAAAGCTAATAATTAAACCTCTTAAGCCAGAGCCCTCAGGACATTTTCCTATAGTTTAAGGATCTGTTGTAAAAAGTTTCATTGTCTAATAGTAAATGGCACTAAAGTAAACCTTAGAGTTTATTTCCAGTGTCATTGTGTAGCTAGTTTAGATATGGGGTTTAATTTTTTTTTCTGATGTTTATTTCAGACTTTTGAGTAACTTAGTCAAACTTTTTCTTTCTAAATACATTGAACGAAGGCTTTAAAATTCTACTGTAGCAGGTGTCATAAACAGGAAGAGGAAAAATAACTTTTAAAAATAGAACACATTTCAGGTAATCATGTAGAACCTTAGTATATTTCTATAGTATTTAGAGATTTATAGCTTTTCTAGGCCAATAACTAGCTGTCCTTTCTTCTTCTGATAATGTATGACACATACTGTGCATCACTCATTTGTATGTAGAACATTCTAGCCACTACTACCCAGTGAATTATAAAACAACAAAAAAGATCTCTTCTGATTTTGTTTTTGTGTATATAACTCCAAGGTGTTCGTATTTCACATTTTGATCGCACTATTTTTTGTTGCTATTATGTGTAGCTCATTTTCTTACATTGGCAGCTCATGTTATGCTCAGAGGCAAATATGTTTTTAAAAGTCTACAAAGTTGCTACTTTTGAAAACACATTGTTAGAGGATTATCAAATAAGTTTTTCTGAGTGTAACATTTAAAAAGGAATACGTCAAATGTGAAACTCATCCAATCATAACATTTTTTTCCTTTTTTTTTCTTGTCTGATTTTTTTTTTTTGCTTTCTATTTCCTCTGGTTTGATTTCTAAAAACACTTTAAAATAGTCCCAAGATCAGGTAAGAACATGTGGCATTGTTACAGTGTTTCTCTGCTATTTCCTGGCTCATTTGCTCATCTTTATTTTCTTCAGCGTTGTGATGTGACGTGCTGTGATGTGCTGCAATGTGCATTTTTGTTTTCTGCTCAGCTTTAGAAAATCAGTTTTGCCATTCTGAGAAAATCAGGAAACTAAATGGATTTTAAGAAATGTACCTTTTGCAACATTGACAGAGTCCTTGAGGCATTTCTTTCCCTTAACAAATTTTGTGTAGTGCATGAAGTAAATGTGGGGAACAAAAGACTTCAGAGTTTAAAGGAAAAGTGTTGATTTGAAAGGCTCTTTCTTTGCTAGTTGATGTTTATTTAAGTTGTTCCTAGATCTATTAGTATAATTTCAGAGTTGAGAGGCATGTTTTAACACTTCATGTATTTAACATTTAGGATATACTGATGGCTACAAATAATACAATTGAATCTTAGTTCAAATCAATTTGATTCATTCAAGACCCCATGCACAAAATCTCAAAAATTAATAGTTGAAAGTACTCTGATCTATTAAGGAGTTAGCATGAAATTTCCTATGTTTTGTGGGCCTTATCTGCCTAATGAAAGTTGGCCTGGAGTATAAGCTTTGGGCATGGTGTAAAGTGAGAGCAATTTAGACCTTTCTGTCCACAGCTTCCCATGCTAAGCTCTGTTCTGCAGTGAACACTCATAGAAATTAAAGGAAGGAAAGTATGTCTAAAACCTACCAACAAATCTGAGATAGATTCTAAAATTAGAACGAAAATGATTTATAGCTGTCTTTAAAAACTTTCACGTGTCCATACGTAAAATGAAACTGTTTCATGTCCCACAGATGTTAACACTAAATTGATAATTCAGAAAAATGGATGCCTAATGTGGAGTGCGGAGCGTCCCAGCCTCGTTCAGATCCCATGGCTGGAAGAAAGTAGAATATGGCTGCTTAGAATCTGTCTTTTCCAATAGTACAGCCACTTGCTACATAGGGTTTCTAAATGAAAAGTAGTTATTAAAGGAATCATGCTCACATTCCTCAGTCCCAGGAGCCAGGTTCCTTGGCCGCTTGTGGTCACTAGTTACTGGGCAGCTTCGCTTTAGCACATCTCCCTCGAAGCACCAAGTGCTGTGGGACAGTGTTGAGCTGAAGAGCTGACTTCTAATGTTAGCAGGCTTCTGAGCATCTAAGAGAGGGGAAGGACGAGAAATGAAGACTAATAGAAATGTCTTGCAACTGACATGGAGAAAGTGAAGAGCCGTGGATCACCTGATTGGACACAGAGGGCTGGTTGGGCAAATACAAAGGATCAGTTCTGTGGCTTGCTTGGGAAGCTCCTCTATGTGGGGATGATACTCAGTATAGTCATGTAATAAATATTTGCTAAGTACAAAATGACTGGAGATTGACTATTGAGAGAGCCCGAAACCACCTGAATTCCTCTGAAAGCTGAAGCTATAAATCTAGAAGAATGTTTGCTATCTATCTGTGTAGATGCTTACAATATGCTTATAACATTAGGGCTCTCCATATCTTGATGTAAAATAACCACACTCTTCTACATTGTTTGCTTGAGAAGTGGTGGGAAAAGGAAATCATTTTTGTGCAAAGCAAGAAATTCTTGCTCTTTACGCTTTGCCCTGTCAAACACAAGGGAAGTCCAAGTCAACAGTTGAATGGTTTGGTCAGGAGAGATACAATATACGGGAAAATTATTATGTAGGCAGGAGAAGAAGGAACTGAAAGATGCTACCATCCCATGCTCTTTGTAAGCACAAGAGGGTCTGCCAGAGGAGGGCGCTTGTCTACAGAGCTGGTTGTGGAATACTCCGTCGGTGAAGAGGCTTTTCTAGACTTCTGTTCTGCAGCTCAGTTATAAGAACAGCAGGACAGAAAAGTCAGATCTCCTTAGAAAGAAGTAGTGAAAAGCTATTCATGCCAGCTTCCAAGGGAAGATGGGAGAATATTTCACAACAGTTCGCAACAAGCTTGCATCCTCTCCTCTTCTCTTGGAAGACCATGGATATTCATTCTGCCAAGCCTTACTTGTATCCTAGCTTGGGCCTGCCTGATCCCTGTAAATATATGCAAGAGTGCCATGGACAAGCTGCCCCCTGCAGTCTTTTCCTGTGGTCTAGAGGTCATGGTGCTGTGTCAGGAAACCGAGGATGTTGTCCTCTAGGGAGTTCAAGGCCAAGAAGAAACAGTAAGAGGAATTTGAATGTTAAGGAGGATCTTGCAAGGTACATTGGTAATGCTGCTTCCTTCTTATTGGTTTCTGTGAGTGTCAACTGCGAACCAGAGCTCTCTAAATTTTAAGCCCCTAGCTAGTGTTGCCAAAGACATAACCAGATGCATTTATACCAAACATGATTCCATACAATAGTACAAACAGACGTGGACCAGAAAGAGGAGGCTCTCCCATAAGGCCTTACCCTAGGGGAAAAAAAAACTCCTTAATTATCAGTTATCTAGAGTCACCTGTTACTCCTCAGGTGTCACATTGGTTCAGCATCAAAGAGAAACATCCAAAGTTCTCACGCATTCCATGCATAACACCAATTGGCCCAATTGCAAACAAACCTGATCCCAAGTTTGTCTATGCCTAAGACATTTCCTCAAATATAAGGCATTTTATTTTTGATGATGTCCTTGATTTCCTTGAAAAGAAAACATTTATTGATATTTTTAGCCATCTTGCCTGTTTTTGAAGTTGCATGCATTAATTTTCTTTTATTCATCTCATCATCATCTACTACTGTGAATGGTTAACTGTAAATACAACAGCCTCCGCTCCTTCAGTTCGGATAGGTCTTACACCTTGAACAGAAGTTCCTATGCCCGGGACAGCATGATGATTGAAGAACTCCTCGTGCCATCCAAAGAGCAGGTATGTGTCCTTTATAAGGTGTTATTTGATTATTAAGTTTGCATTGGTTTGGTGAAATCAAGCTCTTTGTCCTGTGATGAAAAAAAATGCATATTTCTACCTGTTAGAGTTTGTGTTTGTAAATCTTCTGGCATTAACCAGTAAAAGACAAAAGTCAGTTGTACTGTATACTTAACTACCATTGTTTTCTGTAACTGAGTCCCTCCAGGTCCCCAGAGAGGAACTTAGAAAGTCTCAAAAAGGTATAAATAATTTTCTCATCTCTGGGTAAAATCTGTTTTAAAATTTTTCAGGTAGAATTGATAGTCATTGGTAAAGTTGCAGATGCCCACATTAATATGTATTTTATTAATTTAAAAAAACATATATGAACGTTGAAGTTTGTTAGAATTGTTTTTAATAAGCCATTACAGATGAGATGGGTTGTGTCATTGATTCACTGACTTCACTTCCGCCTGTGATGGGCCTTCTCAAGATGTGATGGTATTTTACTTGCTCCCTGAATCTCTGCTAGGTTTGTTTCATGTCTGTGCATTCTTTTCTTTTTAATAATGGTTGTTGAATACACAATGAGTTGATAGAAGCAATCCTGGCATCATAATCCTGCAGGAAGAGCTTGAGATGTTTGTAGAATAATTTCTGGATACTCTTGATACTTGGTTTTATGAATTTTGAAGCAGGCTTTCAGTATTTAAGCAATGTCAATACTTGGTAAAGGTATGCTGGGCATATTCCCTTGCACATTGAGGACGAATTAAAGCTAATGAATAGGTGATAATTACTTACCATAGCATAGTGAGAAGCTAGGCAACCAGTAGCCTGATGTGCACTGTACTTCACAGGGCCCTACAATTACTAATATTCCATTTACATTCCGTAAAGTATCCTTAATCAAGGAAACTTTTTTTTAAAGATTTATTTTTATTATTTTTTTATTGGAAAGGCGGATATACAGAGAGGAGGAGAGACAGAGAGGAAGATCCTCCATCCGATGATTCACTCCCCAAGTGAGCGCAATGGCCAATGCTATGCCAATCCGAGGCCAGGAGACTCTTCTGGGTCTCCCACGCGGGTGCAGAGTCCCAAGGCTTTGGGCCGTCTTCGACTGCTTTCCCAGGCCACAGGCAGGGAGCTGGAAGGGAAGTGGGGCTGCTGGGGTAGAACCGGCGCCCATATGGGATCCCAGGTGTGTAAGGGGAGGACCTAACCACTTGCGCCACCGCGCCGGGCCCAATCAAGGAAACTTTTATAGAGGTGAAATAAGTGATTCAGAAGAAATTTGCCCCCATAACACACACACACACACACACACACACACACACACACACCTTCACACACCCTCACACACCCTCCACTGTCAAATAAATAAATAAATTAAATAACACTTTGCAAAAAAGAGTATAGGTACAGAAGCAAGGCATGGGCTTAAATGTTGTTAGCCCCTGAGAAAGCCTTGATCTCAAATAATGAGGCCAAAGCATATGTACAGTGTCACCCTGTAGAGATCGGTTGGGATATTCTGAAGAACTCATTGCATTCTTGGTTGGTTCATTCTGCTAGGCAGTTAATCATGTTCTCTCCATGTTCCCGTTTGAAATGAGATGTTGGTGGATATATTATTAATACCATTTGTAAGTGTAAAAGTGTCCATTTCGCAAGGAAATGTATAAAATTGCAAGTGAAAGGAGACACCTTTGTCTTGTGTAAAACAAGATTGCTGATGAGGTGTGATTGTGGCCCTTACCAAGATGTGCTTACTCAGGTAGAATGAAGGGGCAGCGTAGACTCAGAATGAAGGATTGTGAAAAGAGATAAAAGACAAGGAGAATTTACAAAGTCAAACTCTTGTTCTTTTAGCCAACTTGTTGCTGTCTAAATTCCAGAACCACTTCTTGTTTACTTTCTGAATGTTTCTGCAAGCTAAATGGAGAGCATAGGGTGTTTTAAATCTTGAGGAAAACAAAATATCTTGAAAACAGTGGAAAAAAGCAATTGCTTTAATAATTTCACAGTACCCTGTGGACTGATGGGCATTCTTTGTAGAACCAGCATGTTTGATGAGTACATGAGGTTACCAGGGCTGTACAGGGTCATGCTGGATTAACAAAGTTGAAAAAAAAAAATATATATATATGGCACAGAGCCATGTTAGGGGCAATAGAGGCATTTTTTAAAAGCCTAAATGAATACAAATATATAAATATGGATATATATGGAAATTATTAATTTTCAATGGTATTGAGGCTGCATAGGAAACTATCACTATTCAATGCTGAAATTTTCAGGAATGAAGTTGTTTTTAAATAAGCTATTTATTTCCACACATTGCAGCCCAAAACACGTACACATGTGTGCATAAAAGGTGAAGCAAATATGGTTAAATGCTAGTGGTTCATCTAAGTTGGAGGATATATTAATAATCATTTAAAAATTTGTTCAACTATTTTTAAAGACAACTTCAAGATAAGAACTTATAGGAAGCAGAAATATAAATTCTGAAAAAGGTGTCTTAACTTCACTAGTCCCTAGTTCTAATTCCAGAAGAGAGGAAAAAGGGTGAATTTCTTGAAAGAGAGGCTATGTAAAAGAATGTCATTACTCTGTGGAAGTCTACTAAGAAGAGGCTGGCACTGTGGTATAAGGAGTGAAGTTACTATGTAGCCTGCAACACTGTGACCTATGGGCACCAGTTGGAGCCTGGCTGCCCACTTCTGACCCAGCTCCCTGCTGATGCATCTGGGAAGGCAGGAGAGGACAGACACAAGCTCCATGTGAATCCCCAAACTAAGGCAATGCAGAGAGGAGGCTCTGTGAGTGTACCTGTATTGGCTAATCAGCATCTAATGTGTAAGTACAGATTCATGTGTGGTTGTTTCAGAGCAGCATCTATGCAGGGAAGCAGCCCTTTCTCCAAACAGGAGCAACAAAGACAGACAGGGGTTGAGTCCAGCCTGAAGCCTGAGGGCCTGGGATGAAGGCAGCAGACGGCTGCTTTCATTTCTTCTGACATAATTACTGAAAGCAACTGCCTGGCATGGCTGCCGTAATCCCCGTGTGTGATGCAGATCAGGCCAGTATTCCTCACTGAATGTTATTCACCAGATGCCGTAAGTGTCAGGAGCCATCTTGATGGGAACGTTTATGATGGTTGTGGAAAGAGCTCATGTGGAGCTCTTGCTAGGTACAGGGTCTAGTCTAAGGGCTTCCCCTGTATTAACGTATTTCTCATTGAGCCCTACCTTTGTCTGTTTTCTGTTGCTCTGAGAAGATGCCTGAGACCAAGGAATTTATAAAGAGCAGGCATTTATTTGTCTCACAACTGTAGAGGCTGCCAGGTCCAAATCCAGGGCATTGCCACTTGCATGGTCCTTCATGCTGCATCCTAACATGGCGAGAGTGGGTGCTGGCTTGATCCTCTACTCATTAAACCAGTTACGCACTCATGGGAGACCCCATCCCAACAACAACATCTGATCAGAATTGCCACTCAAAGGCCTTATTCCCAAAAGCTATTAGCATAAGAATTTGAGGATCAGATTTCCCCAAAAGGACCTTTTGGGGAACATACTCAAATCACAGCCACTCCTATGAGATGATTTCTCCATTCCATTAGAAAGCTGAAGAAAGGGAGGCAAGCTGAGGGCAAAAAGCCTGTGCGGCCATCTGGCTCCAGACTGTCTCCCTGTAACCCATATACTGGGAGGGGGCTTCAGAAAGTTTGTGGGAATGTCAACTTAACAGGTACACTTAATTTGGTGCCAAAGCTTTTTTTGAAATCCATTTTATCAGAAGGTACATTTTTCACATACTGTTTGAAGAGTTCTCCTGTGTGTAGACTTTGCGCTACAAGTAAATATATCTTTTAATCCCATTTTCCACAAAAGTTTTTTTAAGTACCCTATACTTAGCAGGCTAAGAAATACTTGTAAGACTGAAAAAGTTATAATGACGGGCAAAAACATTTAATCCAATGTGGTTCCTCACAGAGTTACCCAAATTGGGGGGTGGTGGTCAGCCGAAGTCACTCCTGATAAGTTGTTTTTGTCGGCATTCACCCCTCCAGGGTTTTGTACCCACTTCTTTCAAGAGCACTGCTGGGATCTGACTCTGCTTTGGGTCTCAGTCAATAAGTGTAGAAGCAATAGAAAATTCTCTTCCCCAAAGAGGTTGAGGACCAGACCTGGCAATTTAGAATTTATTTTCCTGGATTATGGGGAATATTTAGGATGAAAAGTAAAACCTGGCAATCTAATGAAGACTCAAATCAGACAGAGCCTTATGTAACCACTGAAAAAATCCCGGCTCCACTTAGCTTGCGAGGCTGTAAGGATGGCATAAATCTGAAGTTGCTGTGAGTCGAGCAATTGAAAACATGATTCCTCCCATCGTTGGAGCTGTGCCTGGAGTCGGCCACTCCTGAAGTTCGTGCCTGTCAGAATTTCGTGCCGTATAAACCAGTCGTTTAATTTCAGCCTTTACCCACTCATGGGGGAGATACTTCCTTGTTCCCGTTTAATCTTAAGTTTCCTTTAATTTTGTTTTTCACTTGATTTGTAAGGCAGAAAGAGAAACACCAAGAGGCCTTCTATCCACTGGTTCTCTCCTCAAATGCTGGCAAAAGCCGGGGCTATGCCAGGCTAAAGCCTGATTGTCAGTCCAGTCTTGCAAATGACACCAAAATCCGGAAACCAGCTCCTGCTGCCTCCAGAAGGTGGTTTAGCAGGAAGTTGGAGCAGCCAGCAGGAGCTCAGACTGAACCAAGTATGCCAGCAAGGGGCGAGGGCAGCCCGGCCACAGGCCACCCCTAATCTGGCTCTCTCTCAATTTGCTTGTCACTGGAGTTAGTCACCCTAGCATGCACAACACAGAAGTTTAACACGCCATTCTATCTTGAGATTCTATTACTTCAGGCTTACTTTGTGAAAATGAAGAAATCTAATTTTAACAAAATAGGAAAAAGATATGATTGAGAAGAATAGGTATAAAGTTGGATATTTATA